GGCACTAGAGGCACAGCATGGCCGCGTAGTGACGGCCCCGACCACTGCCGCTCGACCTGACCGGAGAAAACCGTAGCAGGAAGCTAGCGAAGTCGTAGTATATATCGTCAAATAGAACTGCCCGGTACACATATAAAAACACATCCAACGCATCGCCAAGAGACATCTGCAACGCCCGGCGCCACCTCAGAACACGCCCGCCCGCGAACAATCCACGAACGCGCAACTCATCTTACACATAATACTCGTCAAGGCGCTCGTCCTCCCCATCAAACGGCACCTCCACCAACGGAGGCATCTCATCATCCGCCTCCACATCCACCGCCAGCTCCAACCCCGCGGTGAAATCCCACACAAACTCCCTCAGCTCGGTATCGAAGTTGCGTAGCCTTGCACCCGTCTCGACTATAGACTTTTTGTACTCGTGCAAGGCATTTCTCACACCCCTACCCCTAAATCTGGAGTCGAATGAGATGCCCTGCATCCCCCCGGCCCTCACCGCTGGCCCATCGTACCCCTCCTCATTGTTCAGCTCCAAGATCTTCTCATTTCTCTTCCTGCTACACACACAGCGTAAGTACCGGCGCTCCAGTCGCTGCGCGTCAGACGCAGCAGGTCAGCCTACTGCCGTCAGGCGCACCGTCACAGCCACCGACCCTCACACGAATACCCAACCACGAACCCACCCCGAGCACCCAAGCACCGACCCACCGAGCCAGCCCGAGCACTCCCCCACCTACTCACCCCAACCACCCCCCAACCGGCGTACCGAGCCACCCACAGCACCGACCCACCGACGCAGCCCGAGCATCCCCCCACCGACTCACCCCAAGCACTGGCCCACCGACCACAGCCCCCAACGCCTCGGCAAGACGGCCCACCGCCTCTCGCATGACAATCCCCTGCATATACGCCCCCTCCCTTTTTTTCTTTTTTTTCTCCTTTTTTTTTTCACTGCCACGTCCGCACTGCAATCATGATACGAAGCCCAACGAAACGTACACACACGAACCAAAACCGAAACGGAACGCCCATATCCTTCCACGAACTTTCTTCTGTCTTCCATTTCCTTTTTTTTTTTTTTTTCTCATTTCTCTTCCTGCTACACACACAGCGTAAGTACCGGCGCTCCAGTCGCTGCGCGTCAAGCGCAGCAGGTCAGCCTACTGCCGTCAGGCGCACCGTCACAGCCACCGACCCTCACACGAATACCCAACCACGAACCCACCCCAAGCACCCAAGCACCCACCCACCGAGCCAGCCCGAGCACCCCCCCACCTACTCACCCCAACCACCACCCCACCTACTCACCCCAACCACCCCCACACCGCCGTACCGAGCCACCCACAGCACCGACCCACCGACGCAGCCCGAGCACCGCCCCACCGACTCACCCCAAGCACCGGCCCACCGACCACACCGAACCACACAAAGCAC